GTTTACACTTTGTAAAGAGCTTTTACAGAGAAGGTCTTATTTTGTCATCACAACCACCCTATTCCAGGCAAGGACTAAGGAGGAGACTCTTTATTAGAGAAGGAACTTCGCGATCAGAAAGCTTAAGTGCCTTGCCCAAGAACACTAGGAAGTGGCCCAATGGGCCCGAAACTCTCTCCTCCAGTATTCTTTCCTCCATGTCTCTGCTTGTCTTCCTACCGATTGTCCCTGCACAACACACATCTAACTCCCAGGGACAGCCAACTTTACTAGGTCCCTTCTAAACTGTTTATCTTAAAGTTTTGGTGAAGCTCATAGTTTTTGCAAATTTTATTATAATATAGAGCTATTTCTCAAAACTTTAATTCCCCTAGAACAATTAGTGATCATGCAGAGTATTGTTTTTAACTTGTTTCTGTTAAAAATAGTTTTCAGTTGCCTTATTTTTTCCCTTTCATTGTGCCGTTCTCCCTATACTCCTAAATTCCACTCTCCTGGTTCCAGTCAATTTAAGGAACTCAGCTTTCGATGTTTTCATGTGTTTCTCTTTAATATATTATTTTTCTAAGCAAATGTGCATCAAGTCCTTAAGCAGTTAGAAATATGTTGATAGAAAAATAAAGAAAACTTCCAAAGTTTCTGTAATTTTGAAATGGCAAGAGGTGACAACAATCGTCAAGGTGTCAGCCTTAGCTTATTTGTGTATTTTGCATCTTTTATAGGTAGAAACAATAGCTGGCTTCCTCGGTTCGGAGCTCTATGGCGCCGCCCAGTGGAGGGAAGCGTCTTTACACTTCATTTCCGTCAGTCGGCGGTGTCATCATGTGGACCCTTGGAAAAGTTCAAATTAAATATGATAGGAAGAAACACCATCTCCAAGTTCAGCATAATACGTGGTTGAATTTCTCCAAAGTTAAATCCCATATTTAAAAAACTTGGTGCTCCAGTTTAAACACAATCCCAAACACAAAATCTAGGTAGTGAAAGTGGACTGTGGATGGTAAATAAATTAAAGAACAAAACTTGTTAAAATATGCTGGTGTTTGAATCATTCTCTGCGGTGGGAAAGGAGCATCTTTGATGCAGATCGCCACTGATGTGTCCAAATCCGGAAAGGAAAAGTTTGTTCTCTATTATCCACAGTTGGCAAACAACTGCTTTCTAAGCAATAATTCCAAAATCCCCCCACCCCTTTTTAAGAAAAAGTGGAAGATCATTTCAAAACTCATGTCAGTTTAGGGGGTCTATTTATTTGTATTTTAAATCCAGTGGGAAAATCTGAGATTAATACCAGTTAATGTGTTTTCTTTCATTTGGCAATGTGATTACTCTGCACTTTGTTCTATTTTTAAATTTTGATTTTGCAAAATGAAAAGTTAATTATGCTTGCTCTGCCAGAAAATGCACGACTTCTTGAATGCATACTTTATACATACTTGCAGAAAAACAAAACAAGACAAACAAACAAACAAAAACAGCAAAAGAGGAACGTGTCTGGAGCTAAAAGAACTGAGAAAAGTTAAACAAAACCCCAGTTCTGAAGAATTTGCTTTTCCTTAAGTTTGCAGTCTGGTCTTTCAGTCCCTCCTTTGATTATTCAGGCCGATACCAGCATTTCCTCTCTAAAAGGGGACCCAAATATAGGAACCCTGATAAAAGTCAAGGCCGTATTTTCCTTGCACCATTGTTGCTTCCGAAAGCTGAGCTCCTAACATCCACCCTAAGACATTTTCTATATTCACCTTTCCTTAAGAAAATATGCTCTGAGACATTCACAGGGCGGGGCCTACTTTGCTTTAGAGTTTCCAGAAAACACCCACTTCCCTCCTCCCAACACTCCGACCCTTCCTCTCTCTCTTTCTTTTCAGATTTCATTTTTTCGTAGGGGTCATATTTCCGTCTTCTCCCCTATCAATGTTGTGAATTATTCCAAGCAAAAAGCCTTGTCGAACCGCCCAACACAAGCTGTGCGATCAGCCTGTCGAGCTCTTGAGTCATTTTAGGAGCCGGAACAAAACAAAAACAGGCTTAAATGAATTATTTATCAAGGTCGAGAATAATTGATTTGTTCAGTGCCGTCAGTTGTGGGCTTTAAATTTGTTTTCCCCCCCCCCCCCCATTCCCCGCCCCACAGTCAGCAAGGGCAGCGCGAGTTGGAGCCCCGGGGCTGGGAGGCGACGCACCTCGGTCGGAAAGTTGGTGAGTGATGTCAGGATGGGAAGGACCCTAATCGATATCTGAAGAGGGACGGACGCGTAGTGTCCGCCGCGGCCGACTGTGCCGCCGGCGTGTGCAGCGCCGGCCCTCTCGGGCGGCGCACGGTGGCCTCTGACAAACCGCCCTCGTCTGTGCCGGCCCGTGGTGTCGGCAGCCCCGGCCGGGAGGCCGAGGCCCGGCCCGTGAGCTGCCCGGAGGGCCCGCCCGGCCAGCACGCAGTTCCGCAGCCGAACGCGGCTGATCCAAGCCCGCTCCAGCTGTCGTCCAGGCCCTCTGCGGCGTCTCGGCCCAGCTTCTCGGCCCCAGCCGGCGGGGTCCGGCCACCTTCTCCCGATGGGGGCTCCTCGCGCCCCTCAGGCCACCCTCGGCCTCTGCCTGCAGCGCGTCGCCGCGTCCCCGCCTCAGCTCACTAACCGCGGCTCCCCCGCCAAACTCCCCTCGCCTTCTGAGAAAGGTGAGAGCTCCCCGGATTGTACATCTCCTCGCCTCGGTCCCCCCTCTCCCCGCTGTTCTGCTCAGAGACAGCCCCGGGAAAATGGCACGAAGATAAGAAACGGCTCAAAGCACCCTCAAAACAACGCGGGCTTTTTCTGGGTCAAGCACATCGATCTCCCTAGAAAAACGCACGGAGGACGAGTCCCCCACAGGCCCCTTTCCTGACCTAGGGCTCACGCAAAAGCAGCTCCTACCGAAGGCAAGATCTTGTCCCAGGAGGTCATTTGCCTCCCTGACACTCCTCTGCCATCCTCAAGAGAAAAAGCTATTCTCCTGAAAGCGACCTACAGAACCGTTACTAAACCCCAGATTTCGGCCCAGTCCTTGGAGACTTTAAAGGCCATTTTCTAACATCATTCTGCACCTAGTCACGAAAGCGATGCCAGCTCCGCAGATTCATAGGGTTCTTAAAATGGTAATTTGGAGTAAAATGTAACTCAAAGAACTTTGAATCATTCATTAGCACCTTATAATTACTCTGCTAATTAGGTTGACACGGCACTTAATCAGGAGTAATACGCCGTCTTGTCACTGGCACTTCCCATTACTCTGACATTCAACAAGAGACGGGATGCAGACGTCCTAGAGAAAATAATGCAAGTTGATACCCTCCGACGAGGCGTCACAGTCATGCTCCGGGTCCCAAGTGGATCCACAGTGACTGTTTCCTTTCCAAATGAGCGGCTGGCCGGAGGGGGGTGGGTGGGACCAACGCACTCGCGTGTGGTGCGGCGGGGACACAGGCTGCGGACCCGCCACCCGGGTCCCTGAGCCCCACTCCGGCCTGACACCGCAGGGGACCGTGGCTGCTTTTGCCACTAGAGACCTCCTCGGGCGTTATTTCCCCCGTTCGGGAGAAAGTGTCTGGCCAGGCATTTCTTCCAGCACAGGCTCAGATTGGAGACGAGCTGGGTCCCTGGTTTTGAGCAACAGGCCCTGTCCCCCCCCCCCCCCCAAGAGTGCCCGGTGGATGCGGACCCGGCTGCGTCCCGCACAGGACCCGCCGCCCCGCTGGGCCGAGCCGGAGCGCATGGGCTTGCTGGGGGGCGAAATCAGAGCTAGGGCCCGCCCGCTCGCCCATCTAGCGCCCCGGCTGCTGGAGTCACACTTTCCCGTGGCTTCCTTCAGGGAACCCCCTCCTCTGCTCGCGTGTTCGGGGAGGCGGCGAGGGCGGCCGCGCTGGAGTCTAGAGGTAAGTCGCCCCGATTCCTTTTCCCTTCCCGTCTTCTCTTTTCCCTCTTTCTTCTGGCTTCTTAAGAAAAGGGGCCAATCGTTACTCTTTTTTATTTCTTTCCTCTAGTCTGCCTCTGCTCTCTGCCCCCCTCTTTCTTTGCCCCTCAGTCGTGATTGTGGACACGGGGGCCACCCGACTAGGCGCTCGGTCCAGGGCTGCGGGCAAAGGGACGTGTGGGTTCTCAAAAGAGCAGCCGGGTCCGAGCCGCGCTCGCTGACGGGCTCGAGGGCCGTGCGCTCATTGGCTCCCGGCACGTCGGCGTCGCTCGCTCTCGAGGGCGCGGCCAATCGGGGCGCGGGCTCGGGCGCGCGGCTTCGGC